CTCAACACGCATCGAGAAGTGGAACTTGCGCGGAGGAGACGATGGTCCGATCCCGTGTAGAACTTCGGAACAACAGCGACGTCGGTCAGGCAAAACCTTCGATTGAAGATGATGTGGTCTATCTCGTTATGGAACTGTCCATCAGGTGACTCCCAAGTCCAACGAAGGTGAGAGGGCTTTTGGAACTGTGAGTTACCATGGATGGTGTTGGTCGACATGATAAACTCCAGACAGTCTCACCCTGCTCATTCCATTCCATTCCGTGAGTACCGATGTGAAGTTCTTCAGCCGTTCTTCTTGGGCCAATCTTAGCGTTGAAGTCGCCGACGATGACCTTGAAGAAGGTATGATCTTCCTGTAGAACTTCTCCAATTCCATATAGAATGCTTCGTCGTAGCTGGATGTTGGTGCGTAGGCGACGAAGATTGTCAAAGCAGGAGTTGAACCACATCTTCTCAATCTCAAACGTCCGATTCGGGTCGTAAGGCTTTCGTACGAATCGATGTTTATGGCCAAGTGCGTGTTGACGAGGACACCCACACCGCCAACGCCTCTGCTGTCGCATGTTCCAAGGAACAGTTCTTCTCCAGTATCGAAAACGGCGTGTAGCGGGCGGTGCCTTCTCGTCTCGGTCAGTCCGATGACGTCGTACTTGATCTTCCTGGCTTGCATCATCATGTCTTCGATGTGGGCTTAGAGAGAGAAAACAATCCCTACCATATATAATGCGCTACGTCTGTCTGTGTGTGTCTGTCCGTCTGTCACGAAATTCCCTAGCTCCTGGGATCCGCCTGGAGGGACCGGGTCAAGTGTGGGATGGGTGGCCAGGTCTCGAGAAGTAAAAACACACATCAGCCTAAGCGGAGCCCCGCCCACAGTGGGCGTGGCGTGCATCGGTTGATTTCAAATTCAGTCACAAAACAGCCTCGAGACCTGGGACAAAAGTGGGTATAGGTGTGCATTGGTAAGTCAGATCGAATTAGGGAGACCCACCCCCGGTGGGCGGGGCGTTCTCTAAAAAAGCAGTGCTTTATGAAAAATTTCATAACTCGGTTGGGAGAAAGCCTACAGAGCAGAAAACAAATTGGTGTAGGGGAGCAATGTCTAAGGTGCTCCTAACATACGCCCACAATGGGCGGGGCGTGTCTTTAACTAGACAACGTTTTCTACAAGTCCTCATAATTTGGTTTCAAGAAGTCTTGGAGAGCCGGAAAAAGGTGGATAGAGGTGGGTGAGGAGTGGAGCCCAACTGTCATTGGGGGCGGGGCATGACCAAAGTGGGCGGAGTTTGCGACGAAAATTCATAACTCGGTTCCAAGAAGTCCTGGAGACCGGGAAAAAAGTGGATTGAGTTCGTCAACGGAAGGGAGGTCAACTGCTATTGGTGGGTGGGGCGTGCACCAATGTGGGCGGAGTTTGCCAAAACTTATAATTTAGTTCCGAGAAGTCGAGGAGAGCGGGAAAAGGGGGTTGGATCTGTCGACAGAAGGCAGGTCAAATACAAATGGTGGGAGGAGTGCGCGTTGAAGTAGGCAGGGTTTGTCACTTGATGTTACATGTAGGTTCAAAGAGAGCCCAGAGGCTGGAAAAAGTGGATAAAGGTTGGCGAAGGAATGGGGCCAAATGCTATTGGTGGGCGCCACAGAGAATTTCCCACGGTGAACTATAAAAATATCAGTGGCCCTGTTCCATACAAATGCAGTCCAATGTGATGCACGCGAATCCGTGCCAGCTAAGCTGTTGATTTCATAAAGTACTTCACGTCAAAAACGTGCATTTTAAGGGAAAAATCACTAGCAAAAAAGTGCGAATATAGCTGAAAACATTTGACTTCTCCGCCAAACAGATCTCACACAGCATTTATGTGTTGCGCATCCGAGTCAACGCGACGATTCAAGGAACAGTATGATCAGTCATCTCAGGCTTTACCAGTCAAAGGGGCACGTTTGAAGAAGAAAGGCTTGAGGGTACAAAAAAATCCGGAAGTTAGGGTCTTATAAACTCAGTGGATACTTCGCTTGCTCAAATTCGAAAAATACTGCGCATGAGTGTAGCAGGCTGAACAATAAATTTGCCAGGTGGCTCACCTTTACAGGATCAAAATCAAATACTGTAGTGGAGACTAATAGCGATGATAACCAGAACAAGTGAGCTTGATAATGTTGCAAGAATAGTTTTCCAAGGGTGATAAGAACAATGTCACAATATCTGAAAAAAAGAACGTAAAAAAGAAAGAATGTTTTATGCGGACGATATTTTCAGAATTATTCAATTATTGTTCAAAGGGAGAGACTAATGAAAATAAGTATCTCAGCAAAAAGACAGTCACTTGAGTAGCTAGGTGGTGGATCTATCGCTTTACGTTCTTTGCGATATCATATGAGCTACCGAGAAAACTGATGTTATTGAAACGGATCAAATTACCTGTTGAAAATAGCGATTCGCATTCTTGATAGGTGTCCATGCTTTGGGTTGTCCTCCATCGTACATGTGGGAGACGTGTATTCTGTGATGGGATTGGTTGGTCGTAGCCACATTGGCGAACGAACGATTCGTGCGTCGGCATGAGTATCGTCATTCTTGCCCGGATGATCGTGCTGTATTTCAAAATGTGTCTAGCTGAATATGGAGAACGGAGCAGTAAAAATAGATCAAGGAAAAGTATCCCAGATTGGCCGTGTTCCTCGTGCCGTCTTCTTCGAACCGGGGCAAGCACTTCGAAGACAGCCTAGAAGAATTTGATGCTGTTGCCGTGCTTCGATGTATGAATTTAAGGGATCTTTTTATAGGATAAAGTAGCCAGATCATTTCAGCACCTCACCGCGTAAGAATGTTCATCTCATTTCTTCAATAGCTTGATCTAATGACCTTTTCTTTTTAGATTTCTTATTGGGACACATTTGTCGTGTAGCACTTTAGCAGAAGTGTTTTGGACAGCGACTAGCTACTGCTGATGTACTTCCCGAAAGTGGATTCCTGGGACGTTAGTGAACCCGAATACGAAGTTATACGATAGTAACATTCGTCATCCACACGGTTGTGCACATGCGCGCACGCCGTGTGCTGTGAGTCAGAGTTGTATCAAAGAAGCTACGTAAGTTGACTGAAGGTGGTTCAGTGTAGTATATCGAGGAAAAGTAACGGCGAATTGGTGGTACTTCGAGAAGGTAATACAAGGAGGCGTAGCGCCAGGAGACAGATCTTTGGGCCAAGAATACAGCGGACCGAAGTGTTTGAAAACGGACTGACTATCCAATCCTCCGTCTCCCCCGCGTACCCCCTATTTTGGCGCCAAATCGTTATGAGGAATATGATCACCTTCCGAGATGGTCAAGAGTATGAGTAGAAGATAAACAGATAAACAGGAAGAGAACAGGAAAACAACGGAAATATAATCGCGTATGGTCGCGATACTCCCCCCAGGGATAAAGCTGGCGTACGGGTATTGAAATTAGGCGTCAATGCCACGGCGTGTAAGACCACTTGAGATCCTCCTGATGAGCTCTCTCGCTTCGTCACGTTTACGGCGTAAGTAACTTATTTGATCCTCGGTTCGCTGATTTTCCTCAGGTTGGACAGAGGCGGAAGTATGTCCAGAGTCGCCACAATGGTAGCACGTTGCGTGGTGTTTTTCCGCAAGTTCTCCCCTTTAGGACAGTAGCGGCCTAGACACTTTTTACCAGATTTTTGTCTGGTTGATGCGTAACGTGCGTGCCTTGAGAGTCGAGTAGACAGTGCAGGAATCTGAATAGTGGTCTCCGCGTATGTTACAGAATATACAGCGCATTCGTGCATCGTTCGGGTTTTCGATTTGTCCTTCGTACCTGCGAGGTCTACCACGCCTCTCCTCTCGGCAATCATTCTTTCGTACTCTCCCGCAGCTTGCTCTGCGTCTTCTAGTTGTTGTCGGAGGCGGGTATCTCTCATAGTCAGGGTCTTCTCGTCGATCGAACTGTACCATTACCTGCAACTCCCCGTCTCGATCGGTATCGTTTTGATCCTCCAATTCATCGTTACTTATTGCTTCTAGGAGTACTAAAGGCTCTTAATCTTCATCCGGATCTCCTACTGCCTCCATAAAGTCTGCGTTCCTATTGATCGTTTCCAGGTCGTTTGAGTGCGGTGTCCATTTTCTCGTCTTCTTCGCGTATGTCGTCATGTACATAAGTTGAGTGAAGGTGGTTCAGTGTAGTATATCGTTCAGTAGAGAACAGTGAATAACACAATTGTTTATGAATGCAACACAAATACAGGAAATAGTAACGGCGAATTGCAGAAGTACTTCGAGAAGGTAATACAAGGAGGCGTAGCGCCAGGAGACAGATCTTTGGGCCAAGAATACAGCGGACCGAAGTGTTCAGAAAACAGACTCACTATCCAATCGTAATCGCGAATGGTCGCGATACTACGTTCCTTGATGAGACTTTATAACTCGTTAAAACGGTTTTTCCGAATCAATTTTTCGAGAAGGCACACCTGAAGGAGTGAATCGTGAGCTCACTGAATAAGCAGTTTGCAAAAGTTCGCTACAGTAATGAGGGTTGTGTCAGTGGTCACAATTCCCACATAATTCACGTTGGTAAGAACAAAACGGGTTGCAGAGGGATATTAAAAAAATTGTTTCGGATATCTCAGCTGGAGGCGAGGATTCAGCATCGAGAAATCAATGAATACCTAACCGGACCCTCCTATCTTCAAGGTGCTTACACTTCAGATGATTTTCGAAAGTACCAATGTACTAGATTTTGATGACGTCACAGCATGTGCTTGCGAAGAATTCCATCACACAGCGGAACAAGAACTGAGAAGCCTTGAAGGTAGCTAACAAGCTATGAGTGCTTCAGCTTTGTCTCGGGATTGAACAAATCTACCAGTAGAAACAAACTCTCAAGGTTGGTTCTGGTTATTACTTTGAGAAAAACAATACGGGACTGGTGATATGGGGAGCACCTATCATGTAAAATAGCCCAAGGCTGATTCTCAAATTGAAAAGGCCCTGGGAAAGAAAGTTTGAAGATTGGCTACTTGCTCATTCCAGCGATTGCGTAGCGGACAGTGAAAGATACATTTTTTTCTCAAAACTGATGAGCGGAGTCTGAGACTTAAGCTCGTCATGCACGAACATTTATTCGGTCTCATTTTCTAACCAGTTTTGCTCCGCCCGCTATCGCGCGCATCACACGGCAGGCTTTAGCGAAACTGGAGGACCCATGGAATATCAGCATGAGGTACTCCATTAACCACCTCACTATTGAATGTGTTAGACCTTTCCCAGTTTCGCTGAAGTCCATCGAGAATACGCGTGATAACGTCTGGAGCTGAACTGGCATATTTATCTCACAACTGTAAACATCCAGCATTCTTCTTGAATTCAGATAATTTAGCGGTGAATAGGATTGCTGTCAGTCTCAAAATTAAAATGAAATATGCCTATTTACATAAGTGAGGAGCTAAGGCTTATCATTTATTTACATTCATACCACTACATTTAGAATTTGTAAGTAGGGACGCTCTAGTGTCAGCGCAAGCTACGTAACGGAATCGACGACTTTTGCGTTCTGACGCGCCTTATCAGCCCTTATCAGTTGTAATCACTTTCAATCACCCACCAACAATGTCCCCGTCCCACCCCACATAACACTTGTAAGTATGGTTGCTCTGGTGTCAACGCGAGCCAGGTAACGGAATCGACGACTTTTGCGTTCTGACGCGCCTTATCAGCCCTTATCAGTTGTAATCACTTTCAATCACCCACCAACAATGTCCCCGTCCCACCCCACATAACACTTGTAAGTATGGACGCTCTAGTGTCAACGCGAGCTGGTAACGGAATCGACGACTTTTGCGTTCTGACGCCCCTTATCAGCCCTTATCAGTTGTAATCACTTTCAATCACCCACCAACAATGTCCCCGTCCCACCCCACATAACACTTGTAAGTATGGACGCTCTAGTGTCAACGCGAGCTGGTAACGGAATCGACGACTTTTGCGTTCTGACGCCCCTTATCAGCCCTTATCAGTTGCTATCACTTCCAATCATGTACCACCAATGTCCCGGGACCACCCCACATAACATAACACTTGTAAGTATAGACGCTCTAGTACCAATATGAACGGCAAAACGAAATTGGCGATGCTCGCTTTCTAGCCCCTCTTATCAGCTATTATCAGTCGTTATCAGTTCCTATCACGTACCACTTGTGTCCCCATCCCACCCCCTATAACATATGTAAGAACCACTGCGCTATCATTACTGTGACTCGAGCTATGAATTTCCGGTCAAACACACACACACAACAAGACACACGCTAGCCGCTTATATAGTAGGATTATCCAAATGAAAAAAACTTAGAATAATAATATGGAAAACTGCGCTTGCAAAAACGTATAGCCCCCTCACATGTTGCTAACGACCTCCTCAACCTATAACTGCTGCCAAAAATTCCTCACTGAATGACTAGGACAGTTCCACCTGCAACACTATTCTGATTCGCGAGATTGACATCAAGGCTAGAAGGATTCTAAATATCTTGTATAAATTGTAATAGCGTACGAATCAAGGACCACTGAGTTCTTACCCTACATTCTATCTTGTAAAGTTTGGAGCCATGGCACTGCACGTAATAACTTCGTCACTGCGTTGCCGTCTCATCGTCATATCGTCATTTCTTCACACACACACATCGCTCATAGTGACTTCATAAGCTCTCACTTGCTCTCCTTTACTCGCCTAGTTGGGGAGCTTCTTTGCCCATTGAGGGTGTTATTATGAACGTGCCAAAAATGTGTTCTGGGTATAAGTTGCAACCCGACAAAAGGCTCAAATAATTGACACCTGGGTGAATAGCGACAGATCCTACCGCACGTACTACAGATGTCCGGCATTGAAAACTACTCAACCCTCCTTAACTTTTTCGATTTCTACTGAAAAGTCTCGGTTGAACGCTTCGCACACCCACTACGATAAAATAGCTTCATCTGGAACATTCCTTGTCTCTTTCATCTCACTTTTCATCTTCAATACACCTCTTCCCGCCTGTTCGAGTAAATAAACTCTTTTCAACATTTGATAATATTATAATTAATCCTGCTTTTCAAAAATGGACAAAATACTGTACGCACGTAAGTTATGTGTACGGTGCTTGCATAGTATATTGCATATATGTATAGTGTGAATTGAATAAATCTTGCATTCGTCGCGCAGCACGCGGGCGCTACTACAATGAGCTCACGCCGGCGCCGGCCACACGAGATAGGCAGCAGTAAAAAAAAATGCCGCGGTACGCAATGGTCTAGACCATCTGTGAAGTGCTGTTTTTATGATTACACTTACACAACACCTTGTCATCAAAAGATTAGGCGTTATGTGTTTATTGCAGTTGTTAATAAAATATCAAGGCAGGCAGAAGTTAGACTCATGTCTGCACCTCTAAAACCGCGAGTTCGATCCCTGCCGAGGCTCTAACCATGCCTTGCAAAAATTGCAAAAATGGTTCTAGTACCAGCGTCAGGCCCAGGTTGACAGGCCGGCTGATGAAGACCCCAGTCACACCAAACATGTCTAAAGTCGAAAAAGAATCAGTGATAAAGCTAGGACGTCACCCGGAAGTGGCGCGCAGAACCCCCGCCCGAGTTCTGTGGTCAGTATGCGAGGGCTACCGAGGAGTGAACGGCCTCGGCCAAAGAAGCTAGTTCGAATTGGGACTCTGAACGTAGGATCGCTAACTGGGAAGTCCCGAGAGGTTGCTGATCTGATGACGCGCAGAAATATCCAAGTCCTATGCCTTCAGGAGACGCGATGGAAAGGTGCTAAGGCCAGGGAAATCGGGGAAGGTGTCAAGCTCTACTACAATGGAGAAGACACCAAGCGGAACGGTGTGGCCATAGCGGTAGCGGAGTCGCTCAAGGACTATGTCTCCGCTGTGAACAGGATCAGCGATGGGTACTGGACCATACTCTCCGTGTACGCACCGCAAGCCGGTGCCCCGAAAGTGATAAGGACGAGTTCTATCTGAGCCTGGACGAAGCCATCAGAACGATTCCGGAAGGTGATTACCTGACCATAGCAGGTGACCTGAATGGTCACGTCGGCAGTGACAGAAGAGGCCTGGAAAGGGTGCACGGAGGTAGAGGAATAGGAGAGAGAGTTCTGGACCTGGCTACAGCCCACGATCTGGCAGTCTGCAGCACGTTCTTCGCGAAAAGGGAGACTCAAAGGTAACCTACAGCAGTGGAGGGAGACAGACGGAAATCGACCATGTGCTGGTAAGAAGATCATCCCTCAAAACTGTGAAGGATATCAAAGTTCTACCCTGGCTCCCATCTCCCTAAGAAACAAGGGTAAGAAGCCGAGAATCCGGTGGTGGAAGCTGCACCAAGCGGAGAAGGATGACCTCAAGCGAAGGATAATGGAAGTCGGTCTCCCAGATCCTAACGGGCCAATACAGCGGACTTGGGGCAACGCGGCTGAGACCATCCTGCGATGTGCCAAGGAGGTACTGGGCGAGACGCGAGGTGGATTCAGAGGAGACAAGGCAGCGTGGTTCTGGAACGAGGAGGTCCAGCGAGTCGTGAAGCAGAAGAAGGAAGCATACAAGCGCTGGCAGAAGACCCGGAGCCCCGAAGACCTCGCTACCTACAAGAGTTGCAAGAGGCTCGCTAAGGCTGCCGTCGCCAAGGCGAAGAACACGGAAGATGGACGCCTTGTACGAGAAGTTGGAAAGCAGAAACGCAGAGAAGTTCGTCTTCAGGCTGGCTAAGGCCCGGCATCGGCTACTCAAGACATCAGGGTGGTGAAGAGTGTAAAAGGCAGCGATGGTGTCATCCTAAGGAAGCCAGCCGAAGTCAAGAGGAGGTGGGAAGAGTACTTCACGGGCTTCTGAACGAGGAGTTCCCCCACAAGAACAACTCACGGGCAGAGGCCACAGCTGGTCCCATCGCACTCTGGACTGAGGATGAGGTTAGGTGTGCACTTGGGAGGATGAAGGTTGGAAAGGCGGTTGGTCCAGATGGGGTGCCAATCGAGGCATGGAAGGCGCTCGGAGAGTACGGCATAAGGTGGCTCACCAGCTTCCTGAACAAGGTAACAGTGGAAGGAAAGATGCCGGATGCATGGAGGACAAGTACCATCGTCCCCATCTTCAAGCAGAAGGGCGACGCGATGGACTGCTCCAACTACCGCGGGATCAAGTTGACTGCGCATACCATGAAGTTGTACGAGCGGCTGGTCGACTCGAAGCTGCGGGAGCTGGTCCCGATCTCCCAGGAACAGTTCGGGTTCATGCCCGAAAGATCTACAACGGATGCCATCTTCATCGCCAGGCAAGTGATGGAAAGTATAGAGAAAAGCGCCGACCTGCTACCTAGCCTTCCTCGACCTGGAGAAGGCGTTCGACCGCTACCGCGAGCAGTACTATGGAGAT